TTTGTATTGATTTTTAGATTTCATCAAACAGTCTTGTTTTTAAACATGTACGAGACAAACCGATTCCTATTGAAGGATTTCGTAAGCACAATATATATGCTATGATTTATACTTTGATAAACTAAACTGTTAATTTTGTTCCTTCAAAATAAACCTCAAAAAAGAGAACGTTTCCGTATTCATAATTCACTAGTTCATTTTCATAAATGCGAAGAAATAGTTTATTGAGAACATTTCGAACTCTTTCACCTCATGAACATCGTTTGTATCAGTCCACCAAGTAGAAATCAAGTCTGTCCCGATGACATTTTCATACTTTCATTTGGTAACTCCATTACAATAATCCCCTAGGGTCCAGACCATGTCTTATTATTTCAAAAACCTCCAGTGCAATGGATCTTGGTATCATATCGCTGGCATATGGCTATTACTATTCTGCATGTTTTTCATTCATATGAAGTGTCACAGATGAACATATTCTAACTTTGCTATACTGAACCTTACTCCGAACTAGTTAACTAGTTAACACGGGAGTTTGTTGCGGTTGACGGACGAACGGAATTCCAAGTTTAAAATAAAGGTTTAATTTAAGAAATAACCAATCTATGAAGTTAGGATCTTATGTGGGTGAAATGTCCTAATTTGCTGTTAAATGCACTGAAAAGTCACTCGTTCTGATGATATCAATTGATTATAGATGTTTCTTTTCGTTCGCAAACACAACTTAGTAGGTTCTTTATTTAACTAAAGTCCAGTAACTCTAGATTTTAAACAACTCGAACAACTCAACTAGAAATTAAACGTATGATGTATTATCAATTAAGCTATTTTGTCCACTTGAGTCGAATAATGACTCTCACCATAGTTATATGCGTTAACAGTACTGCTTGTACACCAACATTGATATACATTGATCTTTATTTAAGCGAATGAGCACTGATAAATCAATTATATTATTAGATATTGTATCTATCACATATTTATTTAAAAAAAAATTATTTCAGGGAGGAGATTATCGATCAAATCATTTGCGGTTTTTCAGTGATATAACATAACTACTATTCATTTAATGCAGTAGTATATCCCATACAAATTTCAAAGTCATCATCATTAAATGTCATTTTAACCAAAGCTAAACTGATATCACAATAAGGCTCTAGGAAGACAGGTGCTTTGTGTGTAATACCAAAATAAAAAACTCAGTTTATATGGAGTGAACAGGTTTTCTGTATGTGATCAGATGTTTCTATTATTCCTTTTTTTGATTAAGAATAAATAAATCAGCTAAAACAATTTTCGTCTAAAAGACATCGTTAATGTTATATCGATTGCTTGCCTATTGTAGAGAACAGCGAATTTATTGATCGCCCGATGATTTTATCCATCTGATTCAGTGATACGCAAAAGCCGTATGAGCATTCTTGAGCCTAGCCCAGTCAGTTAAGTCAAGAACAACCAATAACAGCCTCTGCAATATGATTCATTATTCTCAAACATAATGTGTTTATACACCAAACAAACTGACCACATCGTACTATAAAATACAAAATAACATTTGTACAAGATTTGGTCAAATGTGGCTGTGAATAGCGGGGACAGTATTTAATGGACTAGGGATAACTCAAGAATTGTAAGTTGTATAATAATAGTCTATAGGTCAAAATAAACCTTATAATAAAATGGATACGAATATGGATACTTTAGTTACTTAACAATTATATAATAGGGAATATAAATAACATAATGGTCCATAGATAGTTCTCAAAGTTACCATTCATAAATCTTCACGGGATATAACAATTAACTGGAGCTGTATAATCAAATTTTTATTACATAGTACAAATATGCTTAGAACTAAACAGATAAACGTTGCATCATTAAAAATGGTATTGAAAGTATTCTCAGTTATCAAACATTATGTAGTAGACTGAAAAGTAATGGGAAATAGTAAAGTGAGGATAGGCTTTCGCCATTTACTGTCAAATGATTGATAATTCTAACACAATACCTTGATTCATATTCCTAGGTTCAATATAATAATTTTGTTGTATAATACATATCCTTAAACATCAACAAAATTGAACTTATCTCCATTAATTTAATTTGTGTGAAATCGTTGAAAGCATCCTTCAACCGAAAATATAAATGAAATGATTCTTCATTACTGTTCATGAATAAACTCAAAAGTTAAATCTCATTGATCATATTATTATATTTGTTCTCATATATCATGCTTCCACAGGTTGTAAAATACAAGCAAGTATTTAATGCCCTAATGATGTGAATTCAGATATTACTCGAAAATGTAAATGAATGATTGTGAAGTGATTCTTTTTGAAATGCTACTCAATTCTTTGATTTGGAGATTTGAGTATATTATTCTAATTTGTAGACAGTTACTACTTGAGGTTGAAATTATGTAAAGAAGCATCAAAAATATAAGTGCAGCGGACATTTATTTTGTTTAAGAATACTGTCCTTATGTAGTTTACAACTGCAATCATATCATGTAAGGACGAAAAGGGTATTCATAGGTAGAAATGGATTGTCACTATATTATACCTAGAGATTGCCAGAATGTACCGATACTTTATTCTATTGCAAAGCTAGATTCTTGTAACAGTAAATAGATGATTAAACATCATATCTAGAGAATAACATCGTGATTTTACCAGAAATACTCTATATCACATGCAGGTATAAGGGATATATTAAGAAATTTGATTTCAAATCCATCATCTGTAGCACAAATTTAAATACCTTGCATAGATTTGTCGCATAAAGTCTTCATTCATTGTATATCGTTAACTTTTTATGAGGGTTTGTATTTCCTGGTGGTTAATAATATGAAATACAAACCGTCAATCTCTATTGTTATGTTTGTACTTTGAGAGAGTTTCGTTGATGTTATCTATTAATTACATCATGTTAGAGTGTTTGTTGGTTATGGTAAGCGTTGACGCCTTTGATTCGTGTTACATCCTATTCGAGATTAGTCAGCTGAACATATCCACATCTTAGTTTCCATTATCATATTGAGAACGAAGACATTCAATTAAAAAGTTATAACAATTTTTTTCAGAAATAGACAGATAATAATCACTTAGATTTGTTATTAACGACAACAGAAGAACACAAACCCTTATAAACTGTGTCATACTTATTGAAAAAGTTGTTGACAATTTGAAATCAGTAGTCTGTACTTTGAGATTCAAACTATAAGTACCGGATTCTAGTCTCAATGTGAATATGAATGCTGAGATTCAGATACACCATACTAATGAGTTACAGATTTAATTCCTGGATTTTACTGCCTAGCCGAAACCATGGTGTATTAAGTATAGTTTATTCACTTATAAATTTTTTGAGTTTACAAAATTTTGCTGTAGTCGATGACGAAACATACGAATTGACTACATGAAAATGTTAGTACTTTAATAATGTTTGACAATTCTTTTGTCATCGAAAATTCATGAAAGACATTATCAAAGCTTATTTTTTACTATTAAATCAAAGTTTACTTTATTAAGGAATAAATAACAATAAATTAGAGAGAAATGTTTTTTTCCAGTCCTATGGCGTTCAGTAAATCTTTCCATTCATAGATGATTATTTAACAAGATGTGGTGGTATATTAGACAACATAATGAAATTACATTGTTATTGAGGTGTTTTAAAAGTATCAATTATCAAAAGAAAGTTGTCTAGTACTGTCAACATTATTGAAAATCTGTATTGAGAACAGCATATAGATGAAAAGTATGAACTGATGATCATCCAAAACGTGTTTTTTTTAATTATTGGTGTACTGAACAATAATATATACTATCAGGAAGGGGTTTTGTGAAAATTATAATAATTTAATGATTGAGTTTATGAGTCCATTGAAGCTAGACAACCATAGAAAACCTGAAATTATTGGAGTCTCATACTAGAACAAAACGTTCATTCAATGCTTTCAGATTTTCCATGACGATCTACCTTCATTTGATTCATGAACTCAACTATTAAATAATATATATAATCTTTACAATGAAGTAAACAAAATTAGCAATTAACTAATCCCTAAAAAAAGAAATAAGCAAATAATCCCATAATCACATAAAAATTTTCTCTTACAATGACAACAATATTTAATCTTTTAGAAGTATAAATTGAACCAATCAGAATGAAACAAAGAATAGAATGAATCAATTTAAATATTTTATGATCATTATGAGCTTATAAAATATTAAAGAAATAGTACTATATATATATATATATATACATGTATATAAAGAGAATAAATTGATTAGTATTCATGATTCAAAAAAAAATTATACTTAAACATAGTAACTATGTAAGTTGTTTTGGTAATGTGATTAAAAATCAATAAACAATCATCATCTTGATTATTTTTTTCTATATTACTGAATCTTTTATTTCAGAAAATCCTTTTTTTGGAATTATTAATCATAACTACGAGTTGAATGTATATAATGACCCAGGAAAAAACAAACAAATATATTTATTCATTTAGTATTGTTTGTTTGAATCTTCCCATTGATGTTTAGGACTGTAACTGATCAGTCTCTAATTGGCATATGTGCATACTGTGCGTATTGCCTCGATATAGTTTTAATTCACAAGCATTGTAAGCAAAGATCGGTAGTGGCTAGCAGTAGAATCCAGGGCGTGCGTTTCATCCTATTTGGGACTCGTCAGCTGGATGTACCTGCATCTCATAGTTGATGTTCACTCTGGGACTCAAACCCAGTACCTTTCGCTTCAAACATCATCGCGTTATCCACTCAGCTATTGAGTCCTGATAGCATACTTATTAAAAATCAAGTTATATGATACAATATCAAAAAATTATCCAAATTGAAAAGTTTAGAATAACTTTTGAACTAACATACTGATATTAAACGTTTTAAGTTCAGAGACATATATTTTGACAAATCATATAGTTATATACATGTAAATACCAATTATCTACTAAGAAAGGTTGTCTGTTTTTTCTACACTCAAGTCATTTATATGATTTTTATTTGTAACAATACGTGTGAATACGATTCGTTTATCGTTTAAGTAGAAAAATCCATATTCATATAATCTTGTTATGTTAACTACAAGAAATTTTATTGGTACATGGAGCTTTTATTAATGGATTATTTAAAACTAATAATAATTATTTAAAAGTCATCTTTGAGCAAGTTAGTTGACATTCGATTGACAATTGAAGAAAAATTATTTGTTTGATGAATAAGGTGGAGTTAGAACTTAATGAGACACATCAACTCTCCAATAATTTAATGTTTTTTATTTGTGAAGACGAAAATTACTGGATCCCAAGGTAAATGACTTTAAATCACATGAAGTCATGTTGCTTAAGCCAGTGGTCACATTGAAGTTCGATTGACAGTAGTCAACAATTACTACAATCTAAAGAAATTCTCAAGTAGCTATTCTTTAGTGACTAGTCAATGTGACTTGAACGTATTCGAAAAACATAATTTTTAAATAATAAAATTGTAATGAGAAAGTCAAGAGAAAATCTATGCTACTTCTGGACTGAAATATCAGAAATTCATATTACTGAGCTGGTGCTTCACTCATTGAAATAATGGACTAGGGTTACTTTTCTAATTGAACTGAAAAAAGGCTCTTTATGCTGTGACTATGGAAAGTTAATTTACAATTTTTTAAATTAAGTTACTTTAACCTACGTGTTTAATGATCGACTTCTTGAGTGATTCATGTAATTAATTCTTGTATGTTGTTATACCTCATTTTAGTACGATAAATATTTGATAAGGTTTGAGCTAACTAACTATAACCATGAATTTGTGTCTTAAATAATACTGACAAAGCAGTCACGTTTTACCAAGAATTCATACAAAGAAAAAAACAGCTGTCCAGTGAACTGTGGTTTTCAATGACATTCTGACTGAGATTGGTATGTAACGAATACAGCCTACAAATTAAGTCAGTCTCCATGAGCCTTTACAACCAATCTCAATAAATGCCTTAGCATATGTTTTAATCATGATCAGACAATCAGAAATAGGTATGTTTGGGAGATTTAGTCACACAACGTTAATGAACCCTGTAGAAATTTAGGTTTCTATGTGACTTCAAATAGTTGTAGTGAATTTGTACCATGATATAATAAAACCTGACGCCATAGATTAAACATGATGTGATATAAGTTGTATTTAACTGTTACTTTGTAAATCTACTATCTGTAGCTTTGAATAATTAAACAATAATTTCGAGTACAGTTAACCGATATTTCTTGTACTGAAAAAAACTGAATAATCAATAAAACTTTCGCATTATTGTTTATCTCTCTTTATCAGTGAACTTAATTAAGGAAGATAACTGCTAAGTTAAAGATGCTATCGATTAATTTAATTTTCGTGATTAACTGAATAATGGACTACTGAATGACCTGAGGTTTCATTTATCGATTGTCCAAAAATTTATCAATTCATGATTACGTTATCTGAAATAATCACGTTAACTCATAATAGAAAGACATGTTTTTCTGGTTATCGTTTTTCTGGCGAGTTCGTTTTCTACGGGATGGGATCGCTAACTCCATACCCAACTATCCTGTTTTATCCGAGCTTGAGACCGGCAGTAGCTTCAGAGGATCTCCAGGAAGAGTTAGAAAGACATGTATAAATGGATAATTATTCATCTTCTATCGTGCGATGCCACTATAAATAAAACATTGTAAATTTATTGATAAGATTAAAACAATTGACTAGTTTGTAGTACCTATATTTGTCGAGTAGTTTGTGGTTGTTTAACACTGCCTTCAAATTCATATTATAAGTCGAATTAATAGAACTATTGGATTATTTTCTAAATAACATACACTGAAAACTAATGATAGATTTAGTTAAATTCACGATCCACTAGTGGTTCACATTTAAATGACAAAGTGTTAACAGTACAACAGACAATAAAATCCTAATAAGACATTTAATAGTGACAAGTTATTAGTTACTAGAATGATGAATTGCAATGGCTACCTAATATTTATTGAATAGCTTTATAGAGTATCCACAAGTAATCACCATACTGAGTTGTTCCAACATTTTTAAATATGTGATAGCATAGACTAGAGTCATAGTTTGTTTTTACGAAGATTGTGCATAGCTGATAGCCTGTGATGTTACCAGGAAATATAAAATTCAATGTCAATAATATTTGATGTTGAAGACTCAAAAACATATCGCTTAAGTATCACTAACAAACTTCATTGGCTTTTTAAAACGTTTAATCTATAAACCATTATTTTTATTAACATTTTTATTCATTATTTTACCAAGTATTTCCGCCTTTTTTTAATACTCTATTCAAATTGCATTAGTTTAGGTTTAATTATCACTTTGTATATATAATACTGCATTCAATCAACTAATCAGTAAGTAGATTTGGAGTCAATATCGTTTATGTTGATTCAAAAAAATTAAGAAACACTGGAGTAAATAGCCTTTATTCCAAATCGTTTAGACCATGAATGTATTTAAAACAACACAGTATTCTTAATACAAAGGATAAAATCAGTCAAACTACTTGCCAAGATGTTCAAATGAAATCTATACAAGTTTACAAACTGTTATGTCTTGTAGACGAGTGGATGACTAGTTAATGTGTGACGCGATAGAACCGCCAATCAGGGAGCAGCGAATTATCGACTGGAACAGCGACACGAAACCCGTACGAGCAGTCTACAGTGCTAACCGGTCCTGTGATCTGCCTAGCCCAGCCAGTAAAGTCCAAAACACCAATAACAGCCTCAGTGGTATGAATCATTATTTACAAATACACTGGGTTTTTATACAAACCAAAGTAATCAACAAACTGATTGTAACTCAAGAATCGTATGATAATAAGTCAAGGTCAAAATAAAGCTAATGATAAGAGAAATACGAATATGAATAGTTCAGTTACGTAATAATTGTACAATAGGAAATAGGCATATTACATTGATCCATAAATAGACCTAAAAGTTACCATTCGTAATTCACCGGGGGATATAACATAAACAATGACACCGATAAGCAAACAATAATAGATAAATAGTCAGATAACAAATTTAATCAAAAGATTCTCTTCATAAAATACTGATTTATAAAGATTTTGCTTTTGAGTTTACTTTTGAATGATAATGTGAAAACAATATTTTGTTGTAAATTCACTTGGTGTTATTTACTAGTATCTTCTCATTGTTATTTAAAACTACAATTAATCAGCCTCTTGTCGGGATATGTGCATCTTGTGCAGACTGCCTCGATATTGCCTGAAGTCACAAGCCTTATAAACAAAAATGAATAGTGGATAGCAGCACATATGCCAACAAGAGACTGATCAATTGCAGTTCTAAATAACAAAGGGAAGGTACAATTAAACAACACGAAGTGCATTTAAACTTCACCCCATTGAACAACCAAGTGGCTATCAGGACTCAATAACTAAGTGGATAATGTGATGGCATTTCAAGCGAACGGTACTGGGTTCAAGTTCCAGTGTGAACATCAACTCTGAGATGCACGTGCATCCAGCTGACGAGTCCCAAATAGGACGAAATGTGCATTCTGGATTCCATTGCTAGCCAACATCCATCTTTGGTTATAATACTTTGTTATTATTGAATTTATAATGAGAAGTTTTTTTATTATTACATTTTTAAATATTCATTTGTTAAATACTAATTGACTATATTACTTAAAAATTGCAATATATTAAATGTTTTTTTATAATTTCGCTTTTTCTTTAGATATATTATGAATCATTCTACATTTGAAGATAGTGAATAATGATGCCCGTGACATTTTAATGTACTATTCAACAGATTTTATACCACAATAATGTTTTACAAAAGATTCAACAATGTCTTTAATATATATATATATATGAATATTAATTTCATGTCAACCGATATTTACGTTAATCAGATTTAAGAATCATTACTTGCAACTATTCAGCGTTATATGCTTTAATGAAATATACAATGCCATAATTAACAGATCATATGATATGCTCGAACTGATTATTTTTCTACTCAATCAAACTATAAAATTTCAATTTAATATAAACTCTTGCTTTCAATATTTTGATTTACATTCAAAAACAAATTAATAATAATAATAATAATAATAATAATAATAACAGATTTCAATTATAGTTACACACTGTAAAAACTACTTAATTACTTACGCCTGTTACCACTCATGGAGGAGCACACCATAAAAAAAATTGTTTTCTTTTTTGAAAAAAATTATTTTATATCAACAAATAATGTTTAATGCAATCTATTAGGTGGTTCCATCTATATTCACAATATGAATATGTTTATTATTATTATTATTCAATTATTCAATCGAATATATCAAAGAAAAACTATGAAATTTATTATCCGATATTATTTTAAAAAACAATTTTTTCAAATTTGTATAATCATATTACTTTTAAATATAATATTCTTTTTAATCATTTTTATACATAATATTATAGATTTATCAATAGAATATGAAGAACCTGAAGAATCTTTAATTTATACTACTTATAATGATAATATAAAAAAATTAAATAAATTAAAATATATGAAAGAAAATCATCATAAAAATTCTAAAAAATATTATGACTATTTTAAAACTACCATTACAAATTATATTGAACCAATTTTATTACCATCAAGTCATTGTGATCATATAATGAATAATAATACTATTCATAATACTATTGATAATAATAATAATAATATAACAAATATTATTATATTTATTAAATCAACATATAATAAATTTAAATTACGTCAAACATTAAGAAATACATGGGCTAATTCAAAATGTTATCTTAATTATGGTATTCAACCATATATTTATTTTACATTAGGTAGAGAAAATTCCACTCAATGGTTTAATTCAACAATACAAACTAAACTCTTTAAAGAACATCAACAATATAATGATTTGATACAATTTAATTTTATTGAAAATTATTATAATTTAACTAGAAAATTAATTGGTACTATTGAATATGCTAAATTTCATTGTATTCATACAAAATTTATTATAATTATTGATCAAGATTTTATTATTAATCCATTAAATTTAATTAAATTATTATTAAATATTACTAAATTACAATATAATACATATATTAGTGGTTATGTTATTAAAAAAGGTATACCATTTCGTATAAAAACAAATAAATGGTTTATATCAAAATATAAATATCCATTTAAATATTATCCAAATTATCCACTTGGTGGTACAATTATAATGAGTAGACCAGTAATGTATCATTTATATGAATTATTACGTCATATTAAATTATTTCCATTTGATGATGTATTAGTTGGAATTGTATTGGATAAATTAAATATTACAATACATCATATTGATAATATATTATTAACTAATTATATAATGAATTATAGAAAACAATTTATTACAGCACATTATAAAGATATATCATATTTATTAATGAATTTATGGAAATCATTAAGATTTGATAAATTATGTTATAATTAATGAAATATTAAAAAAAAATATTTGAAAATTTTGTTTTATTTAGTTGTTTTTTTTTTTAAAAAACCAATATCCCCGAATGCTCTGGGACGGCCGAGAGTGGGGAGGGCCGGCGCTCTCTTTCTGTTTTGAAATGCTCTGACATGGCCATCCGTTTACAGTCACTGCCAGGGAAGTTCTACCCACTGACTTCTCGTAGTGGATGTGTTGTTTACAAAATTGAGAGAACGGGTTGGTGGACACGGAAAGTTCAGCTAGGGGGTCGGAAAACCATCATTCCAAACCAATGGTTTACAATAGCTCCAGTATCCTGAGGGAACAAATGACATGTGAACCAATCGTTGATCACCAGCCACCATGGGACTGCATCTCTTTACGATGTTCCACTACCTAGTGGATTAGGCCTTTAGGTCAAAGGCTTAGGGTGTGGCCCCTCAAGAAAACCACCTGCTTTGTTTTGGGCATAAAATGACACTTTTGTCTGTGGCGCATATATATCTGGTGCCCCCTTGTACTAATATTTATGTGCTCAAATAATAATAATAATAATAATAATAATAATAATAATAGTAATAACTTCTTCAAAGAATGAATAAGTAAATCAAAATTAATCCAAGCTTAAATAGTGCAACGAAACAACATGAATATTAGGTGGAATCAATCAAAAAAAAGGGTGTGAACAAGTCAATACAATATCATTTCAGTCAAGGTGGTTTATAGCGACATGTATGTAAATGTGTGTGTATTTGTGCAATGTCAGGGATGAAAAACATGTGACCTCTGTGGTGTGAAAGGATACAGTTTAATTTGTATGTACTATAATAGTGTGAAATGTGAATAATATCAGACATGATAGCTTGTATAGATAGTCCAAGTCGGACGTATAGTGAGGCCTTCTTTTCTATTAATTGCAGCAACATTAAGCTTTATATGGAAAGCTTCAGCTATTCTCGTTTATTTGTAGTTGGAAAAACCTTTTTGTAAAATTCGGATGTTTTTGTAATCGATTTAGTGGTTGTTGAAAGTGGCGTGAACTGATATTACCGATTTAATTTTATGTCTATCCAGTACTACGGGATCATTAGGTCACATTGTTTTCATCCCTGAACTTGAACACATACACACACAAATTCATACACATGTCGCTTATAAATAACCTTGGCTGAAATGACATGATAACGACTTGTTCACATCCGTTTTTTAATTGATCGTACATAATATTCTTGTGTTGTTCCATTTACATTTTAAACTTGGATTCATTCTGATTTAATTATTTATTCTCTCAAGAAGTGACTTACACTCAGTCACAAAACGTCAAAAAATCCAATTTATCTACTGATTGGGATATTACAAATATATTATTTTTATTTATAACAATCTACCCAATGCTCAATTTATTTGAAATTATCAAGTCGTACCTTGGTAGTGATACCTACAACTCATTCATTTATTTGTCAAAAAGATTAATTGTAACTCTTTTATATTTATTTCACAGTTTGGTAAATTTTTCTGGCACAAATAATATGTTTATTCTAATGTCTATGTAGGGTGTATATGGTATAGTATATAATATTTAAATTCTCAAGTTCACTAACCATTGGTTTTAAAAAAGGGCTAAACTATTTGTTAGTGATATTAAAATCTACTGGTTTTCTGTAACAATTTATGAGGACGGCCCACAGGTGACATTCAGGAAACTCTAAGAAGCTCAAAAGGAGCCAAAGATATTCCGTTCAATCTTCTTTAGGAAGAATATTTCAGAATCTCTACATATAGCTTCCCTATTAGATGACTATAATGACGATTCCGTTATTACTAAAATCTATAATAACCTGACAGTTATGTATCACATTTGACACTGTTTGGAATAGCATTCCTTTCATTTGTCTTCTGTTTTTTCATTTGCGACCTAGAAGGTCCTAGCGTTCAAGTGCTCAAATTGTATGTGTTATATCAAGAATCTGAGCTCTAAATATAACACAACTGATAGACTATTAATAAGTTCTCATAGTCCAAAATCTATAATACCTTTTCCTCTGGTTCTTAGTGAATATATCTAGCTGTAAAAATGGTTTTTAAAGACTAATTACGGGCGGAGAAATAAAATACACTGTACTGCTAATTCGTCCTAGGTGAATCATTGTAATAATTAACACCCATCACTCCTTCACGGGTCAAGCTTTGATGGATCTGGAGTTAGACACATTGCTTTTAAGCCACTGAGTTATAATCATATGGGGTACAATATTAACTTCATTTAATTCTTTGTACAGTTGGACGACTATCCAATTTCTTCTGTTACGTTTACGATCTCGAAGGTGAACCTGACGCAGCTAGATCTAATTTCGGACTGGGACATGTATGTTCATTGGTAAGGATTTCCTTGGTTAATTGTTTGGTTGTCTAGTATTCTTTAATTTTTAGTGTTTTCTCAATTTACGTCATCTTTTGATAAGAATAAACTTAACATTAAACTAATCCCATGGCCTACTCAACTATTTGTAATGAGCTAGTGTATTCTATTGTCTAATGTTTTTTCTCTGATTATTTACTCACTTACCTTTGTACTGTCTTCCTGATTGTCGATATAGAGATTAATATCTTAATCGATTAGAGTACAAATGATATATGAAATTGATTCTTCGCAATCGTGAATAATATGTATTCACATCTTAAGAAGGATAATAAAAGCTTGATTTTAGAATATGGTTAACATGTGTTCAGACAGGAAGGTAATGAATTATTATTGTTAAATATGTCAATTCAATTTGTACAAAGGTGACTGTTAATCTAACTGTACATAAATCATATAAAAAGTGATATATTCATAAATCATTTTGATTTATTTTAAAAGTCAAATAAATCTTTAGCATTGGCCTTTGTCTCTTCATTTTGCGCTTTTTCTCTTGTATTCATGTTGTTATAGAGATTTAGTCTGAGATTATCGGGATCTGTTAGGTAAATCAGATCGAGCGTTCAAATAACAAATTTATCAACTATATTCTACTGTTTTCCTATAACGAGGTAGTTGGATTTTAGTCACTCATTTTGTTGATTCTAAATTTTCCTGATGAATAAACGTTTTTGTGCAAGTATTACTTATTCACCTAATTTAATTAAAACTTTCGAGTTTTGTCATAATAGATTACATAGAATAAAAAGTATGTATCTGTATGAAATATTTTGCCAAATCCGATATTGAACTACCATTGAAATGTACTGGGAGGATTATGTGGACTAATAGTGATTCATAACTCAACAAGCTAAAACAATATTTGATAAACTCCTGGAAACATCAATCCCTATGATAATGTCATGGTATACTGTCTGCTAACTAGTTTGATAAATGACGTGAATAAATGATTCACCACCGAATACATTTACTAGTTGGATTCAAAAAAGTCGAAAGTAGAGTATCTACATGTTTTATTGGCAGTTATCAACAATAGAAAATAGGAACATCTATTTCAAACACAATGTAAGATAGATAAGGAAGAAAATTAAATCTATCGGCGGTATGAGGTGATACACTGAAATTGTATTACATCTTGTATTTAAACATTAAATATTCGGTTAGTTAACATTTAAAAAGTCACTATCTTTGATTTCAGTTTTATAAAGTTCAAATAAACTAACGGGGTTTATAATAAAAGCGAAAATAGTTGAATGTTGCTAAAAAGTTCCTAGTTAAAGCAATCAAAGGTTTAGCCCTTTTATTTTTATCTTACGAATATATCTAATTAAACTGTCATGAAAATTGATTTTCTTTTAGTCGGAGAATAATAGTTTACTAAAATGAACTTAAGAATAATTAAGAAAAGAAACCTGTTTCTTTTTAAACAATAATTTACTTAAAAATTTGGGTGTGTCTATCCTTTGTCATTTAATACATTATGTTTTTAACTATCTCAACATATGAATCGTTAAATGCATTATTCGAGTGAGGGTTTGTGGAAATTGTAGTAATTTAAAAGTTGAATTAATGAATCAATTAAGGCTAAACAACCCTAGAAAATCTGGAAGCAATGGATGGCCGTTTCGTCCGAGTATGATGTGTGCTACTTATGGCGACATAAGTAATATATAAAGTTAGTGAGGAATAGAATTGTAGTGAATAAGAACACGAGTGGGGACAATCGAATGTGTTTAGACATAAATTACAGACTATCTCACTAAATTCTGATAACCATACAGTAAACAGTTAATTTGCAAAATAACAACCAATTGTCTCAATCGTCACTGTTCCTTCTGTAAATATCAGTTCATCTCCTCTAATTTCATTTTGTATGCATTTTCCTACCAATCGCGCTTCATTTCAGTTCTTTCATTATCAGTCTTCTGCTAAAATACATTTTATGTCTGACCATCACTATATACTACTTATATGGATATAAGTAGACAACACTACAGAATTAGTATTGTTATCTTGATTTTATAAAACCTGGTCAATTTAATGAATACTTAAATAATAAAAAAGCAACTAGTTGAAATCTAGATATACGATGGTATGTATTTAAAAATATAATATGAAATTCATATATCTTGTCTTTTTCGGTTTAATATCAAGGGATGGTTATTACCGAAAATATAAATTATGGATTAAATTGTGAAATTTTTGTTTGCTAAGCTTGAATTGATTACTGTTATGGTGTTTTAAGTAGAACGATAATTCGGCGAACAATACTGGGTGATCCGGTCACTTTCAAGTACTTGACTGAATAATAGATAAAAAATACAGATAAAAATGGAATAACAAATCCGCTTATCATTTTGGTCATTAACAGTTAACGGCTAATGGAAATTACCTCATACGTAACATGATTTAAAAACATATCGTTTAACTACTAACACTTATTAATATCACTTGAATACCCTTAATTTATAATAAGCATAAAGATTTTGGTAGCTTTATTCTAACTTCTTGTAAATATCATATAAAACGTACTGAAAGATTACATGACTCATAATTGTACACTAAATACAATAATGAGCTATATTCACAAGCACGAATACTCTGACGTTTATTATGTTGAGATATAAC